ATAAAAGGGGCTCATAGAAAAGAAAAAAGAACTATCGTAGCAAGAACCATCGATGACCTGAAGCTGTCCGAACAATGCATAAACAAGGACACCGTGAGAAACTGTGAGCACCTGAAGGCAATTGAAAATCAACTCCTCTACGTCTCCGAGAGACCCAAGCTACTGATAGGCCAAGACAATTGGGGACTGATAGTGACAAGAAAACTGAAGAAGGGCAAACCATCAGATCCTGTAGCTTCCCTCACGAACTTAGGGTGGGTGCTACACGGATGTGAAACAGGAACAACTGCCACAGTACACTTCACTCATTATGGCAGAGCGACCACTGGCAAGGAAGAAATAGAAGACCTCGTCCGAGAACACTTCCAATTAGAGTCTCTAGGGATCCAAAATCGTTCACCATCTAACGACAGCGACAGAAGAGCATTAGAAACCCTCGAGAAAACTACCAAGAAACTGCCAAGCGGTCAATATGAAACGGGACTCCTGTGGAAAAAAGAAGATGAACGCCTGCCCAACAACTACAATCAAGCTGTTCGACGCCTGGTCAGCATCGAGAAAAAATTGGATCGTGATCAAGAAGCAAGAAAGCACTACGAGGAGCAAATCCTGAGTCTAATCGAAAAAGGATACGCAGAGAGGCTCCAGAAACCTCTAACGAAGGAAGGACATTCTACCTACCCTACTTCGCTGTTGTACACCCAGTCAAGAAGAAGCTAAGAATAGTGTTCGACGCAGCCGCCAAGTACGAAGGAAAGAGCCTCAACAACGCCTTGCTCTCGGGCCCAGACTTGCTACAATCGCTATTCGGAGTACTGCTGCGTTTCAGAGAGGGACCAGTAGCCGTCATGGCAGATGTACAAGACATGTTTCTCCGAGTAAAAGTTAGAGAAGACGACCGAGACAGTCTCAGGTTCCTGTGGCGCGGAAACCGAAGAACCGGCAAGTCTGAAGAGTATAGAATGTCTTCAATCATCTTCGGAGCAGCGTCATCACCTGCAACAGCAATATACGTAATGAACAAGAACGCAGAGGAATTTAAGAACACTCATCCTGAAGCAGTGAAAGCAATTAAGAGAAATCACTACATGGACGACTATCTGCAGAGCTTCGCATCTACAACCGAAGCAAAGAAGATATCCAAAGAAGTGAAAGACATTCACGCAAGAGCAAACTTTCATCTGAAGGGATGGGCCAGCAACAACTCGGGGGTAATATCAGAGGTAGAAGACACAAACAAAGAAAACTCCTTACAACTGACCAAGGAAGAGAAGACTCTGGGATTAAGATGGCTGGTGAAAGAAGATGCATTAGCCTTCAACGTCGGGCTACGCAACACGCCGGAAGACCTGCAAGACGGCAGAAGGACTCCAACAAAAAGAGAAGTCACAAGCGCAGTAATGTCCACATTCGATCCAATGGGTTTTGCTACACCAGTTCTAATACAAGGGAAGAAACTAATCCAAGACATCTGGCGAAAGAAAATAGACTGGGATGAACCAATCAACGAACATCAAAAAGAAGCCTGGATGAAATACCTGGAAGAAGTTTCAACATTAACAAGGCTGAAGATCCCGAGATGCGTCTCACCCAAAGGCAGAAAAGGACAGCTACACACGTTCTCCGATGCGAGTGAAGAAGCCTATGCAGCAGTAGTCTACTGGAGAATAGTAGAGCCCGGAGGAAAGGTCCATGTCTCCATGATCGCCGGCAAAGCAAGGGTAACGCCGACGACCCTGTGTCAATTCCGAGGCTAGAGCTACAAGCAGCCTTACTCGGAAGCAGACTAGCCGCCACAATCGAAGAGGAATCAGAGCTCGACATATCGAAGAAGGTTTACTGGACCGACTCCAGCACAGTGCTGCAGTGGATAAAGTCAGAACCAAGGAAGTTCAAAACCTTTGTGGCCAACCGACTCGCCGAGATCGAAGAAAGGTCCAAGCCAGAAGACTGGAGATGGGTGCCAACCAAGGAGAATCCAGCGGACGACGCCACGAGGGGAACCCCAATCGAATTCGACCACAACGCCAGATGGTTCAAAGGCCCGTCATTTCTCCGTCGACCAGAAGAAGAATGGCCATTCCACGACTTCAAGCCAGAAATCGTTATGCCAGAAGAAAAAAGCAAGCAAAAGGTGTTGGCAACAATGGCAGCAGAAGACACTCTACTAAACCTAGAAAGGTTCTCGAGCTGGGAACGACTGCTACGCACTACAGCCAGAGTGATCGCCTTTACACACCTACTAAAGAAGAGCCGTAAAGCGACCACCACCGCCGCGCGCCAGAAGGATGAATCCTGGAAACCACAAAAAATCCAGAAGAAAGAAACACAAACCTCAATCCCGTCGACCAGCAGAAGTGAAAATAAGCGCCTATACTCACCCATAGAAGCAGAACACCTAAAAAAAGGCCGAAGAGATATTAACAAAAATAAGCCAGAGCGATAGTTTTGCATCAGACATAAGAAAACTGAAGTCAGAAAAGCCATTAGAAAATTCGAGTCGACTCAAAAAAATCGACGTTTACATTGGAGACGACGGAATAATTAAATTAAGGAGCAGAACAATGAAATTCCACGATCAAAACGGAAGAATAATGAATCCTATCATTTTAGACGGAAAACAAAAAATAACTCGTCTAATAATACAACACTATCACAGGAAATTCCTTCACGGAAACACCGCTACAGTAATGAACGAAATTCGTCAAAGGTTCTGGATCTTGGGTTTAAGAGCAACTCTAAAAGCGGTCGCACACAGCTGTCAATGGTGCAAGACAAAGAAGAGTTCACCAGAGATACCACCAACGGGAGATCTGCCGAGTGAAAGATTGCAGCATCATCAATTTCCGTTCTCCTGCACAGCTGTAGACTACTTCGGGCCGATGCAAGTCACCATCGGAAGAAGAAACGAGAAGCGCTGGGGAGCCTTATTTACCTGTCTCACAACTAGAGCAGTACATTTAGAGCTGGTACCTTCTCTCAGCACCAGCTCAATGATCATGGCACTCCGACGAATGGCAGCCAGAAGAGGAACTCCGAAAACCATATATAGCGACAACGGAACTAATTTCGTCGGAGCAAAAAGGGAATTAGAAGAGGCCGCACAGGAAAAAGGCATCCAGTGGAAGTTCATCCCCCCGGGAGCTCCAAACATGGGAGGCGCCTGGGAGAGGCTCGTACGAACAGTCAAAACGGCGCTAGCAGTAGTCCTCAACGAGAAGAGCCCGCCTGAGGAAGTACTCCATCCGCTAATGACTGAGGTTGAACACTTCGTCAACTCGAGACCTCTCACCCCGATCAGCATGGACCCAGGAGACGAGGAGAGCCTAACACCGAACCACTTTCTGCTGGGAAGATCATGCGGAGCTATGGCGCCGGGAGAGTTCAGCGACACGGAGCTCATCGGAAAGGCAAGCTGGAGAACCACCCAGAAACTCGCAGACGCACTTCTGGAAAAGGTGGATTAAAGAATACTTACCTCTCCTGATGCCAAGGAAACTCGAAGGGAAAGACACCAGAGACCCAAGGGAAGGAGACATCGTGCTAATAGTGGACGCCACATTACCGCGAAACTCATGGCCTCGCGGTGAAATCGTCAAAACTTATCCCGGACCAGACGGAAGAACCAGAGTGCTGGACGTGCGGACATCAGGTGGAATACTTCGCCGTCCAACTCGACGTGTCATCGTGCTGGTGCCAGCGGAGTCGTCGCCTACAGAGGATGCAGTGCTACGCACCGTGAGGGAGAATGTTAGCGACGACAAAGTGAATTCGAACATTTAATCTTAATTATTTCTTATCAGTGATTTAAAACTAAGTGATAGTATTTAATCTTAATTGTTTCCTATTCGTAAAATAAAGCTAAGTGTAAAGACTGATTAGTGCTGAAAACGGGAAAGTAAATTAAGCACTTCTATTCTTATCTTAAAGTAACTTATATGAATCTATTTAATATTATTTAGGTCTGATTAGAACATTAGACGCAAGTATAAGCTTATTTTCTAGTAAGATTTCTTTTATCATAACTTTAAGAGCTATTAACATATAGGTGATTAATGTAATTCTTTTTACTTTAAAGTAATTCAAAAGAAACATTAATATGTCAATTAATCACTATATAATGTCATTTCATTATGAGAAAGATTTAAATTTTATGAAAAAATATTGTATAGATTCTTAAGCATTAATCCTGAAAAAAGTGTTGTACATTCCTACCTCTTGGCGGCGCTACTTGTATGTTCGGCAAAAAATACTATCCTACTCCGGAGCTAAACCGTGAAGCGACCGCGAAGCTATTTTTATTTTTTATAAGTGTAAAATAAAGGTTTATTGAATAATTTAGGTTTAGAATAATAGAAATAAGTTGTATCTATCGCTAGGAATAAATATAAATATTGTAAGATATGTTTTACCACGTTTATTAAGGAAATTGTAAATCTCTCTTAGAAAGGGTTATTCTGTGCTCTGATTGGTCAATAGATTCACTAATGCCGTGTGCGATTTTTTCTTAATTACGATTGGTTACAGCCGCTTATAAAAAAGGGGCGTTTTTCGTGGTAAAACATTCCAAATCCGGCAATGTAATAATAAGGAATCAAGAAATAAAATAAGAAGAAACTCTCAAGAAGTGTTATTTATTGCTCATCTAACTGCTACTGTATGCTCTCTAGTTAACATCCCGCCAGCAAACCCGCTCTATTTTATCGACGCTCCCTTATACGAGCATTTACAATATATATTTCTTTGTAACTGGTCTACTAGAAGAAATTTCATTACGATATAAGTAGAGCCCTTGTACAAACTTTTCATCATGATGTGTCCTCTCCCTGTCGTATACATTAATTGTTAAATAAAAAAAATAAGCTGTATTTTACGCTGGTCAGTAAGAGCGTGATCCTTACCCGGTCGGGCCGATCCTGTCCTGCTACCACGTACAATTTTAGTATTTTTCAGCTTGAACAGAAAAATCTGAACGTCTAGAACGCAGTTTAAGAAGATCTATGAACAAAATTATGGGTGACTCTGGTAGAAACTACTTATATTTTCTTCAACACCATGCAAGTTACCAGGGTGACATAGTCGATACGGTTTTAAAAATTATAGAAGACGACGATCCTATACCGATGCGGGATATGAAACCAGCTCAGGTAATAATTGTTGTGTCCCAAAGTCAGCTGAACTGTTCTATATAGATTATAAATAGCGGTTGCCTTATGTGCGACAAGTACTGAAGGGGGGATTGACGGTTTGACCGTCAAAAGAAAAAGGCGAGATAAATCACCCGCTATGAAGGGTGAGCGAGATGAAATTTAATGACACATAAGATGTTTTTTTTATGTTATAGAATAAATGTGACAAACAAAAACACAATCCACCTGATGAACACATAGACATTTATATTTATTGACTGAGGACGAAGGTGAAATGCCTCGTTTCAAGTAAAAAGGGTATCCGGTTCTCTACACTCACCAGAAACACAGCAGCATTAATCTGCTATTTTACGCTGGTATGGTAACCTGCTTGCCAAGCGTGGCAACTATGGCAAGTCCCCTCTAAGAGGCAATCTATGGGGGAGGCTTATGTTCAGCTGTGGACTTTAACCCCGGTCGAGCTGGCCCATGTGTGTTACAACTATTATACAGCTGTAATGCGGCTCGAGCACGTGTAAACGTAGCCTTTATGATACAAGAGAAATTCGAGGGATCCGATACGCAAGTGAAGATCAGGGTCGTGCAGAAAGGTGTGTTTGTGTTTCAACGTGACTCGCTTGTGGAGAAGAATAGAAGAAGGGGTTGTTTTTTATATAGGATAGGATGACAAACCAGCACACAGTCCACCAGATGGTAAGTGGTTGCTGTGGCCCATAGACATCAACGTCTATCCTCAATTACGAATCAAAATGCAGATGCGTTGTCACCCGTAAGGACTAAGATGGAATGCCTCGTTTGCAGTAAAAAGGGTCTCCGGTTCTCTACACTCATCACACGAAACACAGCGGCATTAAGCTACTATTTGACGCTGGTGTTCTGTGAGAGCGTGGTCCTACCCCGGTCGAGCCGACCAATTCGTGTTACAACTATACTATCGTAGAGTCGCTTAAGGATGTCTGCTGCTGATGAGAACGCGGATGTAAGCCACAACATTCTCGTGATCTTGATTATTTGTGGCCAGGGTGGAACATCATGAGGTTTTTGGTGCTAGTCGGACATAACCTGTCCTTGACCCCACTAGGTAACTTACATTTATAGTATTTCTAGCAATTCTGTACTGGCTTCGCACCGTTCATTTCTGGGTCTCGATAACAGCAACACCTACCAGGTCTAGCTAAAGTTAAGAATTATCCAGTTGACCCCACAAGTATTCGTTGAGATTGTTTGCTGTGACCAACAATTCGGTCTGGAGGAGATTGTTTTGAATGTTCGAATAAATTGTTAAAAGCGCCTTGCAATTTCCTAAACGCAGAAAGTAAAGACGGGAGCGGACATGTTTTGGGAGACGCACCAAGCAGAGTACGAGACTAGGGCTGCAAGCAGCGGCAACAAGGTACAACGGGTTCATAACCATAACAGCGGCTATCCTAAGCTGAGGGATGAACTTGATAATAGACGATCTCTGGTCAAGGTAAAGTTTTTTTTTAATATAGAATAAGGGTAAGAAACGAGCACGCAGTCCACCTGATGGTAAGTGGATATACGGCCACCATACACATCTGTACCATACATTAAACCTAAATTAAGAATCAAAATGCCAACTGCATTTTGATTCTCACCCCCGAGGACAAGATGGAATGCCTCGTAGCTAGTAAAAAGGGTATCCGGTTCTCTAAACTCACCATACGAAAATCAAAAGCATAAAGCTGCTATTTTACCCCGGTGGAATCGACTCATTCGTGCTACCCAGATAATATAGCTGCACGGTTTTCTTGATTCAAATCTTGCTGAAATCGTTTCTTTATGACACGTTTGATATGACAGGACTTTTAAGAACAGAACTTACTTTCTTTTAAAAGGCCACACACTTTCCACTGGTTTTGCAGTTGATCATGGGCGGCGGTAGTCACTTAGCATCAGGTGAGCCGCATGCTCGTTTGCCTTCTTACATATTAAAAAAAAAACATTTTCTTAATGGTAGGATTCGTTTTCTACACAGGGGTCGATGTGATCAGGTGCAACCCTATTTCCTATTCTCCTATTCCTGCCGCCCAATAGCAGTCTGAAGCATATTGAGAACCAGTATATAGTTCCGCTAGACACCAACAACCCAAATGTCGCCGGCCCTTCACACGTCGTGTCACAAACACGGACAACGGATGGAACGAAGCGAGTTCGCATACGGACACACCGCACACCACTCCAACCCGCGTACACACCGTACACTCATGTCCCTGAGCGGTTCTTACCGCCCAGAACATCGGACGATACGAGTAGGCCGTCAGAGCCGTGGTCCGCTACCCCCTATTCGGACGATCAGTCGGTCGGGTGTTAAAAAACTTAACTACGTGCATTGTAAACTATCGTAGGTGAATATTGTTATATAAGTAACGTTTGGGCGTGAAGCGACAGTAGCCTAATGGCAGGTCGCGGATCGCGAATTCAAAAATTCGTGCGTTCGAATCCGCCATTTGACTACTGTCGTGAACCTCTCCTATCACAAGCGTTTCAAGCTTATGAGGAGTGGTTAAAAAGACTATTAGTAATGTTAATTAATAAGATTACTAATATTTAAAAAAAAAGTAACGTTGGGAATCAGGGGCTGATTAAATGTCAACAGCGCTTTAGGTTAGTACCACATCGGCGCCCCACACTGGCGGCCTTATAACATTGTAAAGTGCGGGGTGAGTAAAATGCAGATTAGGATGGAAAATTGTGTATTTTCCAGACACACACAGCTTGTTTATAAATACTTTGTCCAAAATCAATAAGCTTCTTCGGTGAGGTCCCCAATAATCGCAGATATCGTAGGTCGAACTCTCGTAGTCTCTCCCCGGAGTAGAGTTCACTTTCGCATTACCGAAATAACTAACTCTCCAATCGCCGGCACACGCTTTTATACTCAATAAAAGAAACATAAAACTTTCTAGGCCAATCCAGGTCATTACACTCTTTCGCCCGGAAAGTACTAGAACACTCGCGATACCACAACAGTATCCAAAGGAGAAAAGGCCTTAAAAGTCCTATGTCTTAGTGCTCAGGAGCGACATCACATCTGTAGCCTTCTTGAAGTTGGATACAAGTGTCTATAGGCTACAGTGACCACTGACCATCAGTAAACTGCAACTTCGTTTGGCACTCCAGTTTTATAGAAACAAGTGGTAAAATTGAAAATCTTGTACAACCGACTTCAATATAAATAAAATGAGAACATCATCTATCTAGTCGAAGTCAATTAAATACGCATTATTGAGGATAACTCAAAAACTACTGGCCAGATACATACATACATACATACATAAACCCTCACGCCTGTCACCCAGAAGTGTAGGCAGATACTACAGACTTCCATTGGGCACGATGCTGACACACCTCTCTCGCGTCCTCGACATCCATATACCTACGCATACATGCTCGTCGGTTAAGGGTACTCCTAATTTGGACCGTTTTCAATATATCGACAATTTGGTCGCTAAACTTTCGCCTAGGACGTCCCTTTCCGACTCTGCCGTTGACTTTTGCAACATAAATTTTCTTTGTCATTCTTTCCTCATTCATTCTTCTCAAGCATTCTTTTCTTAATCCTGGTCACAACATCGTCTTGCAAACCAAACTCTTCTCTTATCACACAATTTTTCTCCCTGTCATTCAGATTCAGCCCTAACATACTTAACGACCGCATTTCTACTGCGTATATTCTACTCTAGTGCTTCTTCTGCCACACCCAACTTTCACTACCATACGTTAAAGTAGCGACCAACACAGCATTGTGAATTACCATACATGACTTTTATGACACATTCTGACTTTTCACAATAGAGTGTAGGGCCCCCTTTACTCTATTTCCTGCGTTCACTCGTCGTTCTATATCCTTACCATATCTCCCATGCATGCTAAATACGCATCTCAAATATACAAACTCATTTACTTGCTCGATCAAACTGGCCAAATCTTGATCAATATTTATATGTGACCACATGAGAAGCACTAGCTTTTAAATATATAAAGAATGATCAAAATCAATTCTCATAAAAAAGTTACAGTAAAGTAAAAGCTAGCATTGAACTATAACCATAGCAGCGATTACAGTTGATCTTTTAGGTTTAGCTGCTCGCATAAAAATATAGTTGTTTAAAAGCGCTTGTAAACGGTAAAGGGGTTAGTTTTGTGGCAAATTCTAGCTCCAATTTTATAGCCGTTAAGATGAAATGTTGGTTAGTTAGTTAGTTGACAATTAGTTTGTAAAAACATCGCCGGAATGTGCCCTGTAATGTTGCGCAATAAAATTGCAGTTTGTAGTTTATTTTTTACTTATTATAGGCCAGTGTTTGACCACAATCCCACTTAGTAGTAAGTAGTATTAAATATAAACAAATATAAACAGCACAGTAGTCTAAATTAACAAATGTCAAGTAAAGCAGAAAACAAAATGTAAGTATAGATAAGTAATAGTACATAATGAAATATATAATGTAAAAAATGATGTAAATGATGATAATGTAAAAAATAATGAAATAAATAATGAAAAAAAAACAAAAAAAAATATAAAAAAAATAAAGGAGAAATATTAAAAGACTGTACATTAAAAAAAGAATAATGGGTGCTGTAAAATAAATAACAGCAGATGAAATAAGACTATTAAAAAAGGTAGTAAGTGGTAAAGAAACCGTAGGTTTTAAATCGCACTGTCTTAGCGTAGCAAAAGCCTATTCAAGATGACTAGAATCTAGGCATCTTCAAGGCTGTGCCTAGATTGTATTCGGACGGAAAGACGGGCACCGGCAGCTAATTCCACTCCTCTGCTGTACGTATTATGAAAGACGAAGCTGGGTTTGAAGCATTGCAGCAAAAAAGTATTGTATGCAATGGTGTTGAGCTATAGTTCTCGGAAATAATTTCCGGAGATGCAGTTGCTATAACACGTTTTCGGATCTTTTATGAAAATAATTCTTACTTACGCATTTAATATCAAAGTCACTCATCGATATATTATTTTACACGGATTTTATCGCCTTTAATTTTAGTTAAATTTTAATTCCCTGTGTTTTGAATGTAAAATAACTTATAATTATTCGAGATAAAATTCAAAAATTTAGTTCTAAGGCCCACTTTTTCTTTATTTTAGGTCACAGCCCTCAAAACATCACACAAATTTAATAATTATGATCTAAATTGTACGGCGTATGCTAAATACAAGAAGTTAAAAGAACTAAAGAGGCCAAAGGTAAAAAGAAATGAAGTAAAATTTAGGAATAATGAATGTAGAAAAAGAAGTATAGGCAAAAAATGGAGTCCAAAGAAGCGAAAGTCACATCGGAAAAGAATAAATAAAACTTATTATAATAAAAATAGAATGAACACTGGATGTCAGTGTTCCGGATTATTAAATGCATTAAATAAGAAGAGCGGGAACGATGATAAATTAACGTTTGACCTGTCAATTACCGAGTTAAAGAACATGGCGCCAAACGATTTTGTAAAAATTAAAGATGAATCAACACCGTTAAACAATGATGACGATGATAAGTCTATATTGAGTCTGTATGAGAAATCTTATAAAAATGACACCGAAAACCGTTCAGAATCTAAATATTCGTCACAAAATCCGGACACAAGTAACCCATCGATAAGTACATACAATAGTTTTCCATCAATTGAACATGAACCATTGGTGTAATTTTTTTAATGTTGTTTAGTATCCGTTACATTACATACATTTGTTACATAACATCACTAAAGTTTAATGTGTATTTGATTTTAGCTGGATAATATAGAATTTTATAATTATAAAATAAAAAATATAACTATGTTGCTGTTGACATTTGTTTCATTCCATTCCTATCAACATTTTTAAGCATCTACGTAACTTAATTAAGGGGAAATATAATGTCAAATGGCTTAGCAAGATCCTTCGTTATGCCGAAAATATTGCAGCATTAATTTTGAAATAAATATATGGTAAAGTTGAGGATTATAGTTAGTGATTATGTTAGACGAAAACACGATTTCGTAAAATTTTCTCGATAGAAAAAAAAATCCAAAGTTACCTCCAAAATAAACAATAAACCGCTGTTATTCATAAAATACTTTAAATAAGATCATGAAACTTTGCATACTAACTGAATTAACTATAAAGCAGTGCTTATGTTATTTACTTTTTTTAAAATACCATTATTTTCACTGTAAAAAGAAATTACCTAAACTATCGGCGTCTTGAGCTTGATTCCTGTCGTTCCGTTAGTATCACAGAGTACCTTTGTATAAACTGAAAGTTAGTATCGCTTAGGCTTTTGAAGGGAGAAGCTGTGTCGCTTACGATCAGAATATATATTACGCAACAGTACGACGTAAAATTAAAATGGGAAATAACCGTGATAAAAATAAGAAGCGGCTGGCTTGGCTTTAAGAAACAGGCATAAATATGATAAGCCTAATGAAATAAGTGTCTAACGACCTTTCTACTTACAGTATTAGTGATTACAAATATTTCGGTACATAGCATACGACGCGCGGGGAAGTGGGGGCGAAATTAGAATTTGAGCTGACTTACTCTAACCTCTTAAGCCCGAGGTTCTTGGTAATAGAAGGTTTGATTTCCGGTTTAACTCGTATGGTGAGAAAATATAATAACAAGTTGTAAGGCAATTCAATTAAGTCATCACGAGGACAGCCATTTTTGAAGTTTGTTGTTTTCAGGTGACTGGGTGTCCAGGTGACTGTTTTGTTTATCTTTGAGTTAGTAACTATTTCGAAAAAAAAAATTGGAAGACTTTGATTTAAAGGAAACAATGTAAATGAATAAACTTTCATTTTAATTTACAAAACATAAATCATAATTTTTTGCCCATAGCATCCCTTTTTTGTAAATAACGGTGATAAATAAGTAGGTTCCACCTGATGGTAAGTGAATGAAATACTTACATCTAGTTGTCACCCCTGATGACTGATGGAATGTCTTGTTCCAGTAAAAAGCGTCTCTGTTCCTCAGCGCTCACCGTACGAAACAGTATGGTATTCTGTGAGAGCGTAGTTCGGGGCAGATATCCCACTACTAAAACCCTACCTTTTTTTAATTTATTAGGACCAGTGGCGGCCCTAGCAAAATTTTTAGGTAGTGCGTGATGTCATAGTGGCGCACCTCTAAATAAAAAAATCTTAGTGTTGTTTTTTCGTGATTTTAAGTATGATTAGACCTATCAAATATCTACAGGTGCATATGCGAGGCAAGCACAGTTGTGTCTGTCGCTCTTGGCATAGCAGTTGTTCTGCTTATTCGCGTTAAAGAAATTTTTCTCCATTCCGCTTGCAATACTCTGTTGCGCTCGACAAAACCACTATGCTTGCCTTGCTGCGGTGACTAGTTGTACAGAATATTTCTCATAATAAGAACTAATAATCATGTTTGACAATTTTTAATTACACTGTTGTTCTGCAGACAGTGTTCAAAAAGATAAAAGAACTAACAATAAAAAACTTAATGGAAAAGCCTAGACTGAGTACATTTTTAAATGTTTCAATGGACTAAAACTTCGTTTCCGTTTAGCGACAGTTATAGTACAGGGTAATTTCTGCAAGATACGAAGTGCTGTCTACACATTTGGGAAAAATATGCAGTCAATCATTATTTTTAGTAAGTCTGAGAACTTTATGTGGCTAGGCTGATTGAAGATCTTTAAATAATGGGTTCAATGGGTTCAATAAGTTCCGTAAACAATTTACAACTAGACAAATCACATTATGCCCATCTGTTCAACTGATTTGCAAATCAACACAGGCTTTTTCAACTTTCAGGAATAATTTTCATTTTGTATAAAAATGAACACGTATCATAGAATTTTGATAGTTTAAGTCAAGTAACAAATGCACTTTTAATTATATCAATCACTGGGTAAAAAACGTTCATTTTAAATAATTCTTTAGGATCAGTTGGTGTCTCACCTACGGCTTCGTACACAAATAATATTTTCTTTCTTTGGGATCAGACTGGTTTAAAAATTGGATCTATCTGTTATTAGAGCCGATAAAAAGGCTCCGTATAGTTTTAAATTTCTAACAAAATTTCAAACAATACAACACCTTTGACTCACCTACAGCTTCATACACAAATAATATTTTCTTTCTTTGGGATCAGGCTGGTTTAAAAATTGGATCTATCTGTTATTAGAGCCGATGAAAAGGCTCCGTATAGTTTTAAATTTCTAACAAAATTTCAAACAATACGACACCTTTGACTCACCTACAGCTTCATACACAAATAATATTTTCTTCTTTCTTTGGGATCAGGCTGGTTTAAAAATTGGATCTATCTGTTATTAGAGCCGATGAAAAGGCTCCGTACAGTTTTAAATTTCTAACAAAATTTTCAAACAATACAACACCTTTGACTCACCTACAGCTTCATACACAAATAATATTTTCTTTCTTTCCTTGGGATCAGGCTGGTTTAAAAATTGGATCTATCTGTTATTAGAGCCGATGAAAAGGCTCCGTACAGTTTTAAATTTCTAACAAAATTTTCAAACAATACAACACCTTTGACTCACCTACAGCTTCATACACAAATAATATTTTCTTTCTTTCCTTGGGATCAGGCTGGTTTAAAAATTGGATCTATCTGTTATTAGAGCCGATGAAAAGGCTCCGTATAGTTTTAAATTTCTAACAAAATTTTCAAACAATACAACACCTTTGACTCACCTACAGCTTCATACACAAATAATATTTTCTTTCTTTGGGATCAGGCTGGTTTAAAAGTTGGATCTATCTGTTATTAGAGCCGATGAAACGGCTCCGTACAGTTTTAAAATTCTAAAAAAAGTTTTCAAACAATACAACACCTTTGACTCACCTACAGCTTCATACAAAAATAATATTTTCTTTCTTTGGGATCAGTCTGGTTTAAAAATTGGATCTATCTGTTATTAGAGCCGATGAAAAGGCTCCGTACAGTTTTAAAATTCTAACAAAATTTTCAAACAATACGACACCTTTGACTCACCTACAGCTTCATACACAAATAATATTTTCTTTGTTCGGGATCAGGCTGGTTTAAAAATTGGATCTATCTGTTATTAGAGCCGATGAAAAGGCTCCGTATAGTTTTAAATTTCTAACAAAATTTTCAAACAATACGACACCTTTGACTCACCTACAGCTTCATACACAAATAATATTTTCTTTGTTCGGGATCAGGGTGGCTTGAAAATTGGATCTATCTGTTATTAGAGCAGATGAAAAGGCTCCGTACAGTATTAAAATTCTGACAAAATTTTCAAACTATGCATTGACTTATATATTACTAGTGTAGAAATCATTGAAACTATACGACACCTTTGACAAATCAATAGATTCAGACTTCATAGCTTTTTTTGTGTAAGTAGCTATGCAGGTCTAGAAAGACCAGTACCATGCGATCGAAAAGATCTATATTTAATAAAAATATAGCTCATATTTCACTGCTAAGCCCTATGTCTTTAATGAATAGGAGTTGCTTAGCTGTGAGAAACTTCATTTCTTCTGGGCGAAGTAAATGGTTTCCCAGATGTGTCACGTTTGCGCATAAAGGGTCCACAATCAGTCAGGATATGCAGCGGTGTTTCTTCCGTTAAGGACCAAAACCGGCACATCCTTGAACTGCTTAGTCCCAGGGTGGCCATGTGCTTATTAAGACAACAGTGTACAGTCAGGGCTCTTGCCAGAATCCGCAGTTTTATTTTACCTAATCCCAGGGCTTCTGAAGCGAATTTACCATCCAAAGTTTTAAAATGTTTTAAGCCTGGTGTATCAGACCAGATCTTAAATGATTTATTGTGATAAAGAGTTTCAAGGGTCAATCGGGCTAGGCTTCTTGAGATTCCATAAAATGGCTCAATTCCATATTGTGTGCTCTTTTTGCCCTCCCGTGCGGGCTCATCGGCAAGTTCATTACCTACAATACCTGCGTGGCACGGAACCCATCTTAAAACGACCCTGCCCTGTTATTACATCCCAAGGCGTTTAGACGGTTCACGCAGTCTCTAACTAGCTTGAAGTTCTTAGTGTACCCTCACCTGATGATCTCAGCGCTAGAGTACTACTCGAATATCAGAGTTTATATATGATTGTCGTAACGATTTTTGCAGATAGATTTCCGCACACTGAAGTATGACGAAAATTTCTGCCTGGAAGATAGAGGTACATTTACCCTAATTCATACTAAGTTTGAATTTGGAGCATTCCCCATAAATTCAAAAGCCTACGTCGAGGTCCATTTTTGACCATCGGTGTACCATATAAGGCTACCGACCTCACAGATAACTTGTCCATTCAGCCAGTCTTCTCTGAAGAGTAGTTCCACTACATACGTTTTATTAAAAGTGTAGTGAATGCATGATATCCGAGATCATGCTTAAGGCCCGTGTTTCCTTAATTAAGTCGAGCTTGGATCTCAATTTTTACGAAAGCAAGCGCAGAGTGCCCCGGGCGTTAATCCTATATAAACTAGCCCTAAGCGTAGCCCGTAGCGTCTAAGGATCATTGGGCGTTAGGCACAGAAGTGCATTAAGAGCTGCTCCGGGGAAGATGCTCCAGTTTGCATTAAGCAGGTAGTCCTTTGTAGACTATTTAGTCTGTCCACAATCGTCTTTTAGTTGGCCTTATTACACCAGACACTGGAGGCGTAGGTGATAATCGGCTTCA